GGGCCCGGGGGGGGGGGGGGGGGGGGGCGGCCCTGGGCCACGTGAGGGGCTGTACGCAGTGGGTGAGGCTGCTTGGGGTGCCCCTGGGGGCTTAGCCCAGCCGGGCAGGTGGGCATGTGTGTGACAGGCCAGGTCAGGGTGGTGGCTCGGGCTTTCTGGGGGCAGTGAGGGATGTGGCCTGGGGGCAGGGGCCCAGGAAGAATGGGTGTGGCACGTGTGCCGGGGTCTGTGGCCTCTAGGAAGAGCTTTGGGTACCCTGGCATGGGACCCTGCACTGCCGGTCCTCACCCGTACCCTAGGAGGAGAGGTTGGTTTCCAGTCAAATCAGGGTGCTGAGGAAGGCTCCTTATCCTGCAGAGGAGGCTAGTCTGACTGGTGCGGGCAGCACGGCACCTGTGGGGTCCCGAGTTGCTACCTGAGGCTGTAGCTGTGGATCTCCCATCGTATCTATGCACACACAGTCCAGAGCCCAGGGTCTGGACCGTCCCAGGCCCTTGCCCTGTCGCAGCCCCGCACGAGGGACCCCAGGCTGGGCACGGCTTTAACCTGCAGGACCCACAGGCACCCCTGAGGAATGAGGGGTGTGGTTCCGGGCCGAGCTGGAGCTGGGCCAGGACTGAGGCCGGTATCGGGTGGGCTTGGGCTGTTCCCGCCCTGGCCCCTAGAGCCCTGAGAGGCGGGGCGGGGCTCACTCTGCCCTCTCGCAGGTGACCTGTCGGGCAAGAGGCTGGGCCGCTCCGCCCGCATCAGCGGCGACTGCCCTGCGGAGAAGAAGGCGCGAAGCGCGTCCCCTCGAGGTGCGAGCCCGCCCCCGGGGGGTGGGGCGCAGGCGCCGGGGAGGAGGGGGCGGCCCGGAGCCTCGCAGGGCGGGGTCAGCGCAGCAGCAGGTTCTCAGAGGGGAGCCCCTGCCCCTCCCCTCGGCTGTATCTGAAGGGGAGGCCCCCTCTCCTGTGCTTGCCCAACACAGAGGGTCCATTGCTCCCGGAACTAGGGCCCGGCATGGCCCCCGAGGACCATTACCGCCGGCTGGTGTCCGCCCTGAGTGAGGCCGGCACCTTTGAGGACCCTCAGCGTCTCTACCACCTGGGCCTCCCCGGCCACGGTATGTAGCCCCTCCCCAGCATGAAAGCCCACCACGTGCACCGGACTCTCCCTGTCCTGAGAGGTCTCTGCTCACCCTGCAAAGAGGCCCTGGGGTCTCTGGCTGCTGACACCAAGGCTGGGGTTGGATGCAGGCCTTTCGGCCCCTCAAACCTCGAAAGCCCTTGTAGGTGGGCAACGAGGCCCACCTCCTCCTCCCTCTGCCCAAGCAGCCGCTTGTTTGGGTGGATCTGGGGGAGTCCCCCCCCCAACAGGTCTCCCACAGACTCTCCCGGCTGGGCCTCGAACGGCCACTGTCACTTCACAGATGAGGAAGCTGAGTCTCGGGAGCCCACGCGAGAGTGGGAGGTGGGGGTTTCCCCAGGCCTAGCACACGCAGGGCCCCGTGGCCCCTGGTCTGGACGGCTCCGGAGTACCAGGCCCCTCCTCGGGGAGGCCAAGAGCGGGGCAGCAGTCAGCCCCTGAACGTCCACTGTGGACGTCCGTCCAGAAGCAGGATGGGCGACGGTTCAGGTTTGGCCGCCCGGCCTTCACGGCCTTCACTGGTGCTCAGGAGGCGCTCCGGCCAGAGGCGCCACGCCCATCCCACCCGGCTCCCAGATGGGACGCTTGGAAGCCCCCCTGCCACCGTGAGGGCACAGTCCGGCACCCTGTCCAGCTGCACCCGGGCTTTGCAGACCCCAGTCCGGGGGCTGGGGCCGGAGGCTTGCCTTTTCTGGCTGGAACTGGGTGAGAGGGTGCTGGGAAAACGGGCCGGATTTCCGCTCCTTACACAGGCACTGTCCCCCAGGGCAGTCAGGCACCGAGAGCCTGAATAATTCACCAAATGTTAATAATTTAAAAATCTTCCTTTTTAATTGCTTTCCCTGCCCTGCCTGGGGCCGGCTCCGCCGGCCTGCGCGGGGAGGGGCGATGGCCGCGGGGAGCGGCGCGGAGTCGGGCTGTCAATCAGGCCCCCGCCCGCCGCCCCCGCCCGGAGCCGACGGTAAATAACGCAGGCCGCGGGCG